AGAAATTTGGTTATTAACTATGCTTGAAGAATATATCATGTCAACAATAAAGATGCATAATCTATATTAAAATAATTAATTCTAATAAAGATCGAAATCTGTATCCACAAACCAAAAATGACAAAAAAAAAAGTAACAAATATCAACCAATAAATATTCAACATGTCATTGGGTTCACCTAACATCGTTGATAAATTTCCAAGACAAAAACAAATACGCACATTATAGGTGATGATCGGCTTTCTCTCCTCAATTTTTAGTCATATTTTGTTCTCATTTCTGTCAAGTGACTTTGTATAATCCTATGTAAACCTCTTTGTTTGCTCTTATTGTTTTAATATCCTTCACGTTATCATTGGGTTCATGGAAAAACTTTGTACTTGTTACAGGGCTTTCATTTTTTTGAATGGTGACCTTTGTAAAGAATATAGTATTTACTGTTACATGTAGCTTGAGTGATAGTGCTTTTGTTAACATTGTAGAAAACGATGAAGCATAAAACTATTGAAGTTATTTTGATTTTTGGAGGGCGTAACGTATTAGGATGCAAATTTGCTATGGCTTATTATTATCACTTTAGGACCACCCTTTCCTTGGTTTACACAATTAAACTTGTTAAACTTTTTCTCCCAAAATCAATAGGAAGTCAATTTTTCCCAAAACTATTTCTCAAATTCTATATGACTTTCAGTTTGCTTGGTGTATAAGGAACCTTTAATGTTGATGTTTTTATAAACAAATGTTTTCCTCTATTTGTCTAGTTGGAAAGGCTATTCCTTTGCTGATATAATAATGATACCTTATCATATGCTTATATAACATAGTCTCTAGCCAAAGAGAAAAAGTAAAGGGATTTGATCCAAGATGAAAATTGAGAGTTAATGTTAATAATTGGAAATGTTGTTAGTTTTAGCACTTGATGTAGTAATTTAAATACTTTAGTTGGCTATAGATTATTTTATTAAAATCACTTATTCAAATTTCTTTTGCTATGTTCTACTAAAACAGTTCGATTGTTTTGTTTATTATGATACATCACTTTGTTTTTTATTCATTTTTTCACTAATTTTTGCTTTTTAACAGTTCTTTGATTTAGCAATGATTGTCCTTATCTTGTGCCAAACTCATGTGAGATAGGATGGTTTTTTACAATACATTAACCTTTTGATTAACAATATACTTAATATTTAGTTATAGATATATAGCATAATGACATCGTATAATTCATATAGCTAACTAACTTCACCCAGTGGAATAAAGCTCTGTTTTGTATTCATCTATGATGTTGTACATATGAGTGTGTAAGTACGCACATAGAATTAAAAATAATTTAATAAGTACACCCTAAACCTTTCTAGTTTTTGTTTGATATGAAACATAAGGAAGTGTTGTAACTAGTAAGCACAATTCTATTTACGATTCTTAAATTAGAAGCTTATTTGTACAGCATTCCCTTGAAAGCCCAAGTCTATTAACTGTGTTAGAAATGCAATTTTTGTTGTTTATAAACTAGGTCTGCTAATAACTAAGATATCAAGTTAGAAGTGTGAGGGTTCAAGTGGACAAATCATACGACCAAATATAGGTCTATTTTTGAAGTGTTTTCTATTAAGTTCTTTAAAAAGATTGTGATAAATGAATATATTTTACAACTTAATATGACATGATTGGGTGTTTAAAAAGAGTTCCTTAACGTTAAATTTTTGGAGAATATAATTAAGAACCTCTAAAAGGATTTAATATTTGATAAGGACATGAATGGATTAGATACTTGTTAAAATAAGAATTTTACTTTTTAATTGTTATTGTTTACTTGTTAGCTGTTCTAGGGTCCTTTATTGATATTTTCCCTTCCATTTTTTGTTGTTGAACTTACAGGAAACACCTAAGCGATTTTATATGAGAGTTTTGTCCTAAAATTCAATATTGTTCTTCCTTTTAATTTAAGATCTTTTATTTCCTTATATTGTATTGACATATCAGACTAAGACTTTTGCATTGAATTGCAAAATGTTATCTTTAGAAATAAAATGAAATTCAAATCCGCTTAATTTTGTTCTTGCATCATATTTATTGGGTTAATATCCCTTATCTTATAAAATAGTGCTTACCAAATATGTTTGCTTGAGTTACTTATCTCTGATGGATATGAAATTCATAGAAAGTATTATCTATTGATTTTTGTCCATTTTTGCTTCACTTATGTGTGTTTACTTCTTCTCATTTTTCTTCTTTGTCCTCACTTGCCTTAAATGACATATTGCAATTATGTAACGGTAATGATTATAATAGTCCCAAATATGATGAACAGCTACAATCAATATGATTTCCCCCCTTTGCCTCTTGACATGAGTTTACCAAAAATATCCACCTTTTAATTAATTTATATATTTATTCATTTCTCTCGGTTTCATTGTTGTGTTGTTCTCAGCAGAACAGCGTAACACTATGAATTGACATCCTAAAATTCTTTATAATTTACTAAGGATGATGCCATCTAGCCTCTTGCAATGATCAGTAATTCCTTATCTTTCATGTTCTCCTTTCTTTGAGAGTTGTTCAAAGTTCCTTGTAGGAATTTTTGCATCACCTTATTTTCGTGGCCTTTTTTGAGTTTTATAACTTATTTCTTCAATGGTCTTTAAACATATAAATAAATATCTATCATCATAGACTTCAATTACTAGGTAGTAAATTAATTATATATGTAATTATCCATTTCTATCCATATATAGATATACATAGGTGTGTGTAATTTATGTAACCTAACCTAAACAAACACAATTCTACAATTCTCCATCTCCAGCGGCTACACACATATAGGAGCAAGCTAGAGTGAGAGAACTTAGCATGGGAGGGACAAAGTTTTACTTAGTCTCTACAATAATATTTCTATGACTAGGTAAGTATTCCAAAATTTTTATTTTAACTATTTATCCTCTTTGTTTGTAGATTCTTGATGGTAGAAAATATAGGATACGTTATATTGTGAATTTTTGGGTCTTTTTGTTGAAAGATGGTTAATCTAATAACATATCTAGATCTATTTTGAGGTCTTGTGAGGTTTAATATCTACACATGATTGTTTATATGATTTGAGGACTCTTAGACTAAGGTTTAAGGTTTAAAGGCAGTACTTGAGATGAATATAGGTTTAAAATCAATGGTTTAGAATAAAAAATTTTTACAAAGTTATAAATATTGAGAAAACTAGTTTATATAAATGATTGAGATAATTAGAGGGAATTTTAATTAGTTAAGATTCAATCCAAATTAGCCATTTGAGATAGGTATATGTGTAACTACTCTTATGGGTTGTGTAAATTAACTTCATCATGTTACCATGGGCACGACGAAACCATGATTTGTTTTATTGGCTTTTGAGAAAGGAGGTAATCACATTCTTTTACTTTGGTTGCTTGATTGTATGGTTAATGTTTTTATTTATGTCTAATTTTCTTTATTATAAAAAATAATTATATATGTATATAACTAAGCATAATAGCTTACACTGCTATTATATAATTTTATAAACTATTGTTGAGTAAGACTATTGTTAGGTGTTACCATGATTTTTCTTGAGAATCATGTATATATATTTTATGAATTATATAGTTATAATTTTTGAAAAATGAGGCTACAACTACTTGAATATGTGGGAGGTTATATGTTTTCATGATTGTGATCACGCAATTTACAACCACCTTATGCACGATGGTTGGCCATTCTTAAGGTCCTTGGTATCTTATATGGAGACAGCCCTTGAGGCAGGATGCCTCTATGAGGTGTTTTGAAAGAGAGGGAACTAATGGTTTGATAGTAAGACTAAACTTTTGGCCAGACTATAGTTTGCCATGAATAAGCTTAGTGAAGTCCAGTCACATGGACAAATCTTATAAATTGTGATAGCTCACAGGTTTAGTTAGAGAAGTAATAAGGAGGGTTAAGGATGAAATTTCATGTACGTATGCATGATTTTATATCTCTTTATATGTATAGAATTAAATGGTATTTGTGAATTTGGCCTACTCAACTGACACTTAAGTTTCACTATATGGTCACAAACATTTCAAATGAGCCTAACAGAGTAAAGGGGAAGTGTTCAGAAACTTGAGGCTTAGCTTAAGCAAGCCTTGAGCCCCATTTTAGTTTTCCATATAATCATTTGTCAATTTAGGTCTCATTTGTCATTTGAGATTTATTAGTTAAATTGCTTGTTATTTATATGTGATTGATGAGAGTGATGTTAGTTGAGGTTTGGGGCCATAAGAATTGTATGACTAATTTATTTGGAGTAGATATTTTATTATAGAGTTTTTATGTTAAGACTTTTATTGAGAAATAAATATTTATTTGTTATGGAATGTGATTTGTGTGTCTGCAGATTTTAGTAAGCCTAGACTTTGTAAAATTTAATATTTATTTTTAATTCTTCTTTTTCTACCATAGTATACTCTTTTCTACCATAATAAGGTATTATATGTGGTTTTAAAATATTTAGCTTAAACTTCTATAACTTTAGTAGTCTTTTTTATTAGTTATATTTTTTATCATGAGTAGTTTTCAAGTATATGTTTTATTAGGTGAATTTTCTATGATCTTGGTAGCTTGCTCAAAATTTGTTTAACTCTTTTCTACCATGCTTATCTTTTAAATAAATTGAAAAATATTGGTTTTAAATTTTTAAACCATGATAATTATTTTAATTAGTTTGAATAATTTTATTACCATGATATTTGGCTAAGGTTTTGCGTTGCAATGATTAGGTGCTAAAAATGCATCAAATCTTTCTTAGTTGTTGAATTTTTTTAGATGTATACAAGAAAAAGATTTAATAATTTAGGCATATGAACTTTTAAGTGTATATAGAGATTTAGTAAAATACTATTTGTCTTAATAAGGGAAAAAATGCAGGCACAATGGAGGTGAACATTTTCTTGACAAAAAAGTGGTTCTTTTGTCAGTGTTGAATTAGGAGACAATTACTTATTGAAACTATCATGGCTTCCCATGAAACTCCTAATTCAAGAGTTGCCAAGGCCTTCAATGCTATGAACGACTTGGGAATTTCTCATGATGAAGTAAAACCAGTGTTACAAAAGCTATTAAAATTGCATGACGAGAATTGGGAATATATTGAAGAAGATAACTATCAAACACTTGTAGATGCATACTTTGAGCATAAGGAAGATAAGGTAACTCTTATCAACATCTTTTGTTTATCGTACATTTAAATATCTACTTGTTTGTTCTATTTTTAACTATTATATGTGCATGTTCTCATAAGTTGCTTTAAATTATATATGTTGAGTAATGAGAAAATAAGAATTAACAATTAAACTAAAAGTTATAATCCAGTGATTATTTCTTCATTGCATGTAATAAATCTACATCAAGAAACTTCTTTCCTTTAACTATACTTTTATGTGTATACTTGGCAATTTATACTTTTTCCCTCTGTTTTAAAATAGGAATCAAAAGATAAGAGAAAAGCTCTCATTAGTCATCATGATGGAGAAAGACAAACACAACCATTGGCGAATAAAGATGATGTGCTTTTTTTAACCACAAACAACTCAAGACAAAAATTTACCATGGAAGAGAATGAAATGCCTCCAAGTACTTTTGCACCGAAAATTATTGAATCATTTCAACCTTTGATGAGCAACATGAGATCTAAAATCATTTCTCAATCATTGAACACAAGAATTAGTGAAGTAGAAAAGATATCAAAGTTCCCCAACATATATGTTGTAGATAAAAGGTCAACTTTTGAGGAAGGATCTTCAGCAAGGCATGGGAAAGAACGTATTAATAAGCCTAGCTCTGCTCCTATTCAAAGAGAAAATATACCAAATGAACATAATAGGAGAGAGATACTGAAACAAAAAAATTGGACACAATAAGTTACATCTTGGATCTAGTTCAACAAGTTGCAAAGGTAATGTTGCTAGTCTTGATCAAAGATTCTTACCCATGTTATGCTTTCATATCCCAACCCATTAAATCTTGATCTCAATCTATTTGAATTCATTCTCAATTGTCACCTTTCTACCTACATTTCCTTTCCATCAAAGGGAGAAAGGTTGAAGAAATAATATCAAAGCAATTGATTTATCACATTTATGTTTCCTATTTTTTTAGCAAAAGAAAATATTTGGCTGAAATAAGTTTTTAGAGACAATCCCATTCCTATATATGTTATCTAAATCCAACTCTACTATCTTGTAATTACCTAGTCTTTCTCACAAAATTCTTCTACTATAACAAAATTAACATCACCATCTATGTTTTCACTACTTAATTAGTAAGACTATTTTGCAAGATTTAATGCATTTTTAGGTCAAATGTTCATATCCAAAACAATTGTGGATTATTCTTTCAAGAAAATAATTTGTGCAATTTACCTTGAGCAAAATTATTCAAAGCCTGGTTTGACCTTGTGGACCATTAAAGAAAAATATAGGCCTGTAGAGTTTGATCATGGTGCAAATGTAGGATTTGTTTGGTTAAGAAAATATTATCATCTTCTTGATTAATTTCTTCCTATATGATCCATATTACTATAATGATATAATTGTTTGCTGATTTTCTCAGGTTCGTCTGAAGTTTTGACTAGAAATCATCATATCAAATTGGTGTCATCTCTGTATCTGGATTTAAACAGTGTCATTAATTCTGCACACAATAATAACCCCACAAGCAGCAAGGCTACTATTGACATTGCCTCTTCAGCTTTAGGAGAAGTGAAAATTTTTTTAAACTGTGACCATGCACTTGAACAGCCAAACTTCTTTATTCCAAAGTTAAGTGATGTGATAAAGTTCATGGAGGAGAAGTACTTTCAGCCTAGTAATATTATTGGACCCCAATTTTCTATGATGAATTTATTAAATAGCTTGTGTGACAGTTTTCTTAAATTGGGTATGAATATAAATCAAAAGAATCCACATCCCGAGTTCAACAATGCAAACATATTGACAAATGGACCACAACAAGCTATTGCTCAAGATGAGAAGTTATTTCATTTTCTTAGTGACATAACAAAAGGTTCAGAAAAGGTGAAGATATCATTGATAGATGAGTATGGTAAGGGGGAATTGCCAAATTTTAATTACATGCCACACAATCTAATATATCAGAGTGCTAATGTAAATATTTCACTGGCTCGTATTGCGGATGAAGGTTATTGCTCAAATTGTTCAGGAAACTGTCTTTCTCAATCATTACCTTGTGCATGTGCTCAAGAAACTGGTGGAGAGTTTGCTTACACTCTTCAGGGCTTGCTGAAAGATGAATTTCTAACATCTTGCATGTCTATGAAAAAGGAACCCCAAACTCATCAATTGGTGTATTGTCAAGAGTGCCCACTAGAGAGGTCTAAGAATGAATGCATGCCTGAGCAATGCAAGGGGCATCTAATCAGGAAGTTTATTAAGGAATGTTGGAGGAAATGTGGATGTGACATGCAGTGTGGAAATCGAATAGTGCAACGAGGTTTAAGATGCAAATTACAGGCATGATGCCCTTTAATTTTTTTTTATTCTATATTCAGTGGCAATATGGCTTACTTAACTTTTTTGTTATTAATTTACCATGGTGGAAAGTATATAGAAGTATGGCAACTATAAGTAAAAATATGATTGAGGAAGTGCTATTGACAAAGTAAAAAGGAAGTCTTAATTTTATCAGTGTCATATAATTTTTTAGAGTTATATCTTATAGTATCTCTTCAATACCAAAAATAAAGGCTTCTCATGTGGTTTGAATCAACTTATTTATCATTGTAGTTCGCCACAAGTATCCACTATAAATTTTGTCATCTAGCTATAAGTGTGATAGTTTTTGCCAAAAGAAATTATGTCAAAATTTCATTATTTCATGTATTTTTAACAATATCCTATGTTCATATAGCTATGGTATTTTAATTTATTATAACAGCTATGTTGTTTGTCTCTAAATTCTCAGGTTTTCTTTACTAGTGATAAAAAAGGTTGGGGTCTTAGAACACTGGAAGATTTGCCTAAGGGATCCTTTATATGTGAATATGTTGGAGAAATATTAACCAACATGGAGTTGCATGAAAGAATTATGCACAAAAATGGCAATGACAAACATACATATCCTGTGACCCTTGATGCAGACTGGGGCTCAGAAGTTGTATTAAAGGATGAGGAGGCACTGTGTCTAGATGCAACATATAATGGAAATGTTGCTAGGTTTATCAATCATAGGTAATGTTTATATGTCTATAGGCTTACATTTGAAAAACTAATAATGCATTCTTTAACTTTTGGATGGAATAGCTAATTTTCCAAACTATACAGCTCGGTAGGTAAATATTGTGGTGTAACAACTTGCATATATTTTTGCTCATTTCGAATAAACAAGCCTAACAAAGAATGAATATTGACATTTGGATATGATGCTTTTATTCTGTTAAGGTTCATGAACCAGTATAGCTTTCTTTATTGTGCTCCCCTCTTCTCCCCCTTTCTTTCTTTTTTCATCTAAATTTTTAAAATGATGTGTGCTCTACAATTGCAGATGCTCAGATGCAAATTTGATGGATATTCCTGTTGAAGTAGAGACTCCTGATCGCCATTATTATCATGTAGATATGTGATTTTATATTTTCATTTTACCATTATATTATATATAAGCCTATATAAGGGATTCTTAGTTGCTTGATTTACAAAACTTGGTTTGAGGGGGGGAGGAAACTATATAACTTTTGGAGATATTGAGAGATGACTTGTTTGTTGTTAATTACCTGCAGCTTGCCTTCTTTACTAACAAGAAAGTGAATGTTTATGAGGAGTTAACATGGGTAGGTTGGCTTAAGCCTTAATCAATCAAAAATATATGACATTACATTTGCATCCTTTCCCTCCAAGCATTACTTTTGCGTTGTTTTTTTCAATTATTTTATTAATAAATAGTTTTTTATTTGTATACATGTCATATTATTTCAATTTTCTCAAAGATCATCCTTTTTCTCTCAACAATAAAAAGTGTGTAAAATTATTTGTAGGATTATGGTATTGACTTTGACGATCATGACCATCCTATCAAAGCATTCCAATGTTGTTGTGAAAGCCCATTCTGCCGTGACAAGAAGCGAAAAGGTCAATTAAATAATCTAAGTATTTAGGGTTTGATTTTTCATAATCACAATTCATGGCTTGGTAGTGTTATGAGATAATGTTATAGCAACAATGTAATATTTGATTAAGAATAAGATAGGGTTTTGCATTAGATTGTTTGCTAGGTTTCCTCATTGCTATGTGGAATTTTAGGGAAGCGAAAATTAGAGAAACATGAATGAAGCGAGAGGAGAGTGTAAACCAATATGGGTCAGGGAGATGATTCTTATTTCAACTATTGGAGTTAATGTTGGACTCAAACAGCATCTTTCAGGTACTAACATTGCTTATCAATTTGGTACTTAAATTGTTTTCCCTTTGTTTTTACTTTAATTTATTCTCAGGGAAAATGACAATTAGAGATTGCACAATAACATTAGTCACAATTACATATCCTGAATTATTGAAATTTCAATAACATACTATGGTTCTTACTTTCAATTAAAAAAATGAAAATAGTGGGTTAGAAATCTATTAAATATACTTAAAAATTATTTGTAACATCAGTTGAAAATTTATGAGAGTCAATTGTGAATCACAAGTCAATTTCTTGTATTTTCTTGCTATTGCTTAGGAAATCAACAAAAGAAAGTTGAGAATTTCTATAACATTAATTGAGAATTTATTAAAGTTTGTTGTGAATCTTATTTCAATAAAAAATAATTTATTGCAAGTAAAGGCTACAGTTTGCTATTGGAATTTCAATAATTCATAATCCGTAATTGTCATTAATGTTATTATGGGATCCCTAGTTGTCATTTTCCTTTATTCTCATTAGAATAAAAGCCTTCTTCATTCATAAAAGGATTTAGATTTTCTGAAGCCAGAAATTCCTGACACTTATGAGCCATTGAATTACTTTGTAAAAGCCATCTCTAGTCTAGATATAATAATACTCAAATATGATATGATAACATCACATAATTGTATTACAAGAACATAAAAATCACTAATAATTGAAAAGTTGAGAATTAAAAGAGTTACCTTGACAAACTCATGTTGTTGTGAATGACATGGACTCCTATTCCTGAAACAAGTAGTTGGAATGCAATTTCCAATTTTTCTACGTAAAATAAACGAAGTCAAGAGAGGTTTGCCATTTATCTTATTGTCTCTCATTCTCCTTTATTCTTTTGAAGTGCTTGCTCAACCACCATATCTTTTCTAGACTTAGGGAAATGAAGGAGTAAGGTTGTTGAGAATTGTGAGTAAACTAATGCTCTACCTCCATTTCCAAATGTATTTCATATTCCCTTTGTCCTAATTTATAAAATCTTTTTAGATAGAATCACATATATCAATAAATATCATTAAATATACTTTATAATTTTATTTTCTCAAAACAAAAATATAAACCTTTATAAATATCCTTCATTTAGTACTACATCAATGAAAGATTATTAAAGAGATACTCCCTCCAAACCACGATATAGAGCATATTTTAAAAATTTTGTTTGGTCCAAAATATAGAGTATTTGTTAACTTTTATAATTATTTTTTAATTATACCCTTACTTCATTTATTATTCTTTTTTTAAAAAATAATGTATTAAAATTTTAATTATTATTATTAAAGTACTTATATAGAGCATTTAATAATGGTAAAATTGGAAAAATGTAATTTTTTTAAAAAAAAGGTTTCAAAACATTTTTTAGAACAGTAAATACTAATGACATATATTTTGGTCCGGGTAGAGTAAAATATAATGAGAAGAGTAATATTAGAAAAGTATCATTAATAAAACTTTATTTTTGTTAAAGTGTACTCCCTCCGGTCCTATTTATAAGTCATTTTTATCAACCTCATCAATACCAATACAATAAAAGTACAAGGAATAAAAGTAAATGAAATTTCAAACATAATCCTTTTTAAGTAAAAAGTAAGTCAATCATATAATATTATTTTTTTATCTTTCTTTCTCTTACTTTTTGAGGATAATTTAGGAATTTTAATTTGAAACAAAACAGTCCCATTAATAAATGACTTATAAAGTAGATTAAATTATACTTCTAAAAAGTAATTGAGTATTTTTTTTAATGTTAAATTTTCTTCAAAAATATTTTGTAATTTAGGATAGATGCAGTAATTGGCATCACTTATGTGGAATTTTTATGTGTAAAAGAATGACCAATCATTCTCTTACTTATTTCACCGAAGTGAATTGGATTCACTCACCCTTCCATATTATTACAATAATATTGTCATTATTTTTTGTGGCAGGGAAAACATTGCGTGATATAAAATTCAGGTGACTAGTTTGCAGGCGTAGCTTATCTCTGTTATGGTCAAATTTGTCAGCATTCGCACTGATATGCAATTTATGAGCTTTTTAACTGTTGGTTTGTTTATTTGTTTTTTTTTTTTTTGGTTCCTGTGAAGTTGTACCGCAAACTCATGGCACATGTTTTCACGACATTTTTGAAGATATGAATAATTAGATGATCCAACTTTTTAGAATAATTTTTTTTTTTACTGACTCAACATGTTTTTAGAGGTTTGTTTATTTATTTAAAGAAAATTAATCTACATATCCTTATATTTTTAAATTTTGCATTACGTTCTTATAATTTATTTTATTTTAATTGACCCATTATAGTTTGATATGTTATATTTGTTAATTATTGAAGGTTAAAATTCTTGATTTTTTTATTTTAAAAAAATTAATTTAAAACTTTTATATTTTTACTAAGAAGTTATACAACTTTAAGATTAATTACATGACTTTTATAACTTAACATTTATATCATTAGATGATGTCTTCTAAATAATTTTTCAGACATATACAATTTTCATAAAAAAATAATAGAATTTAAGATTTAAGGCTTATTCAAGCTAATGCCTGAAACTTAGCTCAAATTACTTGCTCTTTTAAAATTTTTTTTAGCTGAAATTTAGAATCTTTGAATTATATTTAGTAATTTAGAAAATAATTAATAGTACAATTTTTATTATATAGTGTTAACCTTTTAAAATTCTATTCTAGTGTCAACCCTTTTAATAATATTATCTTATTTATATATATATATATATATATATAATGTTGCCGCCAAATTAGTATAAAAGTGATTAAAGGTTCTCCCTCACAGGTGCAAAGACTTTTTGGTTATTCATAAGTATTTTTTATTAAAAGCAATTATGTTCGAGAGTACTAAATATGAATAAAGATTTGAATCTTGATTCGTTATACTATGAGAGACTAATTCTTTCAGCTAACCTTACCTTAAAAGAAAATATAACTTTAAGTTCCTGCATTTTACTCACGTTTTATTATAAATCTCTACATTTTTTTTATATTTTAAGTCTCTATACTTTTATTTTCTAATATTTTAAGACCTTCTAAAAATAAAATATAAAGATCTTGAAGGGATTTAAAATATCAAAAAAAGTATAAAGAATTATAGTAAAATATGAGTAAAATTTAAGGATTCAAAGTTATATTTTTTTTAAAAAAAAACAAAGATGCCAAGAAATATCTGGCCAAAGAAATGCTAAGAAATAATTTGAATTTACCTAAAGGGCCCAAAAAACCCAAAAATCTGATAGCAGAAAGTACTGTTAATGTACTCCTTGGGTAACTTGGAAAGGCTTGTTGGGACTGTAAAGGAATAATTGCTTCTTGGACTTTAGGAATTCTATGTTGTAAGCCTCCTGGTATGAACTCAATGAAAATAAGCCCTCCAAAGTCGCAAGTTTTTCAGGTGTGAGATCAGAGTTGAATAAATTATTGAGTGAATGAGTAAATTATTCCTCTTAAATTTTATGTCCAGCAGTATCATAAATTTTAAATTTATTTATTATATAAATTATTTTTTTTAACCTTTGAAAGCGATATAATCTGACTCATTTCATTAACAAAAGTTAATTTTTATAATCAGTTGACTTGAAAATAATAAAAAAAATTTAAAAATTATAGAAAATGACTAAATTTTTTTGTGGTCCATTTTAATATTTTTTTAATCTTTTATTATAATTTTTTGATTATTTTTTATAATTTTTGAGATCATTTTTTATCATTTTTTGATCAATTAATTGTTAAAATTAACTTTTATTAACAGTAAAAACTTGATTACACTATTTTTAAAAGTTAATAGAATAATTTATATAATAAATAAGTTTAGAGTATATGGTACTATCAGACCTAATGTTCGAAAAAATAATTTACTTATTTATGTTAAATTATTTGTTTTCGTTTTTTTTTTCCAAGTTGTTAGACTAAATTATTAAAGCATTGATAGGTCTGAATAAAGAGTGTTGGCGTCATGTGAACCTTCCATATTTCTATTACTAGAAGATCTGTTTGTTTAATTACTTCCTCCAAACCCTCAACTTTTTTTAACTTTAAGCCTCCAAACGAACGTATAATATAATATAAAATGAGTTAAAGATGATTTTACCTTTAAATTATAAATTCAAAAGATATACTCCCACTGTTAAAAAACTATAAAATATTTATAATTGAATCTCACTTTTCAATAATATAGTTACTTATATTTAAACTGATTCTATTTTTTTATATTTATTCTTATTTAATAGGATATTTTAATTTAAAATAAATATAAATTTATTTATTCAATAAAAGCACTTTTGAAAAAAAAAGGTAATGATTACATTTTAAAAAATTAAAATGTCTTACATTTTTTAGTATCCAACCTTTAATACTTTATATTTTTTAAAAGAGGAAGTATGTCATTCTAAACTTTTTTTTTTCTAGAGTAATTGAGATTCACAGAAAAATGTATTTTTCACAATAGCTAGGTTGTAAAATTAAAATAGTGTAATGAATTATAAATCTTCATCCAAAATTTATGATCCCTCCTTCAAAAATGTAAAATTAATGTAAAAATTGCATTCACTTGTAAATCACAAATATATTAGTGAAGTTGTAATTTTTGGAGAATTTATAAATATCAACAGTTGATTTATAAATTGTGTGAAGACTATAAATAATATTACTCCAATATAAATAATATTACTCCAATTATTATATATTAAAGTATTAATATTTTAC